TAATAATGTGAAATAGGAAGTAAAGGGCTAAAGGTGTAGGGAAACTGGGAAGGGTGGGAGAAAGGTAATAAGGAAGAGGAAAAAAATATGAGAAACTGAAAAAATGGAAATAAAGTGTGTGTAAATGGGGAGGGAAGGAGGGGGTGAAGGGAGGGCAGGGACAAGGGGAAAAAATGAGAATCAAGACCTATTATGTAAAGGTACAGAATCCCAATGATGAATGTAACTGTATTGTATACCTAGATTGTACCAATAAACTCAATAAAAAGAAAAAAAACATGCACTCATATAATTCTTTCTAGGCGTTTCTCTTTTCAAACAAATTTTATGTGAAAAAGAAAGCAGTATAACTAATTTGAAGTAATAGGTAGCATATAAATGAAATCCTTTACATTGTGCTAGATCTTCAAAGTATGTTCATCAATTTGTTGCTTAGGGCATTTTTTCTCCATTAAGTTTATTGGTGCATTTAAAGCAAACAATAGTTGCATTTTTCATTGGGATCTTGTACCTTTACATGATATGTCTTGCTTTCCCCATACCCATCCTTTCACCCCCTTCACCCTTCCCTATTTACAAAGACTTTGTTTACATTTTTCTTTTTTTCACATTTTTGCTTTTCCTTTATTTCCTTCCTCCTTCCCTTCCCTTCCCACTTCCTCTTTAGCCATTTTCTTCCTATTTCACACTCTGAATTATACCATTTGAACCTTACTTACAGTTTTAGTTTTTCACACCAGAGAAATTATTCAGTATTTACTTGTGTGTCCTATTTATTTCACTTGAGTATAGCCTCAATGTGCATCCATTTAGCTGTAAATGTCTCTAGTTTTCTATTCTTTATAGCTGAGTATACTTCATTTTATAGAAAACCACATCTTTATCCAGTCTCCAGTTGATGGGCTGTTTCCAAGTTTAGCTATTAAAAACTGTGCCACTATTAACATGGATGCATGTATATATCAGTGTGTTGTGATTCTGTTAATTCTCTTAGAAAGATAACCAGCAGAAGTACAGCTGGGTCAAATGGAACCTCTAATCCTAGTTCTTTGAGGTATCTCCATATGGATTTCCACAGTGGCTGCATTAGTCTGCACTCCAACAACAATGAAGAAGGGTTCCTATATCCCCATAGCCCCACCAGCATTTGTTATTGATTGATTTCTTGATAGCAGCCGTTCTTTCTGGGGCAAGATGGAATCTCAGTGTTGTTTTCATCTGCATCTTTCAAATGACCCCTGATGTTGAACATTTTTTTCATATATTTATTTGCTCCTTTTACTTCTTTGTCTGAGAAATGTCTGTTCATTTCAGATACCCATTTTTGAGTTGGGTTTCGTATTTGGGGAGGTGTGATTTTTTTGAGTTCTTCTATATATTCTAGATAGTAGTCCTTTGTCTGAGGAGTAGCTGATAAAATTTTTTTCCCACATTGTAGGTTGTCTTTTACCTCTGGTGGTGGTTTCTCTTGCACTGCAAAAACTTTTTAATACAATGAGATTCCAGTTGATTCTTTGTGCACATTCTCATGTTACTGAGGATTTGTTCATAAAGTCTTCTCCTATACCAATGTCTTCAGGAGTTCTACCTAATTCATTTTTTAGTAAGTTTAGTGTTTCTGTTTTGATATTTAGATCTTTAATCCACTTTGATTTTAGTTTAGTGCATGATGAAAGATAGGGATCTACTTTTAATCTTTGGCAGGTTGAAATCCAGTTTTTCCAACACCATTTATTAAAGAGGCTATCTTTCCTCCAGTGAGGATGGTTGGCTTCTTTGTCAAAGATGAGGTAGCTGAGTACATCTGGGGTTGTTTCTGTATCTTTCATCTATTCCACTGATCCTCAGGTCTGTTTCTTTGCCAATACCATGCTGTTTTTATCACAGTGGCTTTGTAGTATAGTTTCAAATTGGGAATTGTGATACCCCTTGCCCACGTCTCTGTTACCTAGAATGGTTTTTGCTATTTTAAGTCTCTCTGGTTCCAGATGAATTTGTGGATTGTTTTCCAAGGTCTGTTAAATAATACTGTTGGGATTTCAATCGTGATTGCATTGAATCTGTATAGCAGTTTTGGAAGTATGGCCATTTTCACTATGTTGATTCTTCCTACCCAGGAACAAGAGATGTCTTTCCATCTTATATCCTCTTCTATTTTTTTAGAGTGCTGTAATTTTCAATATAGAGGACTTTTGTCTCCTTCATTAGATCGATTCCAAGATATTTCATTTTTTGGATGTGATTGTGAAAGGAATTTTTTCCCTAATTTCTCTCTCAGTGAGTCTGTTCTTTATGTACAAGAAGGCTATTGATTTTTGAGTGTTAACTTTCTATCCAGGTGCCCTACTGAATTTGTCAATTAAGTCTAGAAGTCTTTTGGCAGAGTTTTTTGGGTTTTCTATGTAGAGTATCATATTGTCAGCAAATAATAACAGTTTAACTTCTTACTTTCCTGTCTTTATTCCTTTGATTTCTTTCTCTTGTCTAATTGCTGTGGCTAATGTTTCTAGAACTATATTGAGAACTATATTGATAGTGGACATCCTTGTCTTGTTCCTGATTTTAGCATGAAGGTTTTCAGTTTTTGACCATTTAGTATGATGTTGGCTGTTGGCTTTTCATAGATAGCCTTTATCAGGTTGAGATAAAACCCATCTATTCCAATTTTCTGTATGGTTTTTATCATGCATCAGTTTGAATTCTTTCAAATGCTTTTTCTGCATCTATTGAGATAGTCATATGGTTTTTATCCTTGAGTCTGTTAATATAGTACATTACATTTATTGACTTAAGTATGTTGAACCATCCTTACATCCTTGGGATAAATATGACTTGGTTGTGGTTTATGATCTTCTTCCTGATCTTTTGTGTTCTCTTTGCCAGTATCTTATTAAGGAGTTTTGCATCTATCTTCACTGGGGAGATTGGCCGGTAGTTCTCTTTTTTGCTTGCATCTTTCCTTCCTTTTGAAATCCAAGTAATACTTTCTTACAAGAATGAATTTGGAATTATTGCTTCCCTTTCAATTTTATTGAAGAGTTTAAAGAGTGGTGGCGATAGCTTTTCTCTAAATGTCTTATAGAATTCAGCAGTGAAGCCATCAGGACCTAGGCTTTTCTTTGTTGGTAATGTTTTAATTACATTTTCAATTTCACTGAATGTAACTTGGGTGTTCAGACTTTTTGTCGTCCTTGTTCAGCTTTGGAAGTTCATGTGTATCTAGGCATCTGTCCATTTCTTCTGTATTTTCCATTTTATTAGAGTACAATTTTTTGAA